CTTTCCCTCCAAACAAGAATATTATGTCTACATCAAACACTACCTGCATGTTATGAAAATAACAGATGTATAGAGGCCCCCAGACTGCCAGCAAAAGGAAACAAACCCAGAATTACCTTAAACTCATCCTTCGAGCCTCCCATACCTGAACTGGGGAGCGGGAGCCTGCATGGCTTTTCTCATGCACCTTGTAACACATGCAACAACGAGAACTTAACAAAAATCCGATTTGCAAGCAAGGCAAGCCAGGTTCTCCTAAATGCTTATCATTTTTGTTCATTCCGAATTTTAGAAGGAAAGCCAATGACACCGCTGTAATCTTGCTCAACACGTTAAGTCATTTAAAATAAGATATGGTATGGTCTGAGATCACACATGACATTCTGCTGACCACAACGGGACAAGCCCCACTTCATGTTTGTGACCTACAGAATGTGGAGTATTGAACTGATTCATCTTCATGGATTTTAGAGTGATGAAATTATAATTCTATATTCCTACAATTTTGACATACATATCGTATTTTACCTTCCAAATGTAAACGAAGTTTTAATATTTTAGAAGACAAGACTTTAAAAGACAAACCCACCAATTATGATTAGTAACTGGCTTAATTTTGGAGTCATCTGGAAATAATGTTCTATAACTTGTTTTACATCGAAATAAGTCAAGCCAGATCAACTTACATTTTCAAAACAGTTCTTTCAAAATCTTCATGAATGTTTACCAATTTCAGATTAATGCAATGCATTACAAAACATTGCAACTATGGGCAAAGAACATATATGCAATTATTACATTATTCAGATCCTAGAGGAATTTTATGAAAGAATTATATAACTAACATAGAAAAATTACTATACTTTTTCATAACAATCCCTTCACTTTTAATAAGCTGATATTGGTGCCAAAGAAATGAGGTTGTAACTATTGTGTCTGTTTCTGGCTGAATGGACACTTCTCAGCACAGAATGAATGGAGTTCATTTAGAGGTCTTGCAAATGGACTCCGACTCTTTTCATGCATAATGGATTTCAGTAAGAACATTTAGGACAAACAACTTTTTTTTTTTTTTTTTTTTTTTTTTTAAATTTAACCCTTTTAAGTTAAAGGGAGAGAGTGGGAAAGAAGGAAAATGCAGGATACTTTTGTTATTGTTCCCCATTCAGTGATGGCACGCACACTTGTTTCACGGGAAATAAAGAGACCAAGACCAGCCTGGAGGGAATTATCTCAATTTCCAATTTCTATGCCTAAAAATGAACTACAGCAGTCCTGATGCACTAAGTAATAATTAAAAAAAAAAAATCTTAATTATTTAATATTACCACTTCGCAAACCAATTTAATCATGAACAACAGGTTTCTAAGTTAATTATGCTACTAACAGCTTCTAGACTTTAGAAATCACGGTTTTCTTGTGTTTACCCGTGATTAAATATGATACAATTCATAGATGCAGAGGGTGACAAAAGAAGGTGGAGTGACTTAAATTTCTATTTTTTTTTTTTTTACATTTTAAATCTGGACTTAACATTATTTGAACACACTAACGTTCTTACATGTTTGGGACCACCCTTTGTTCACAGAGATGTAGTTCACACCCTACATGTGTATTTAAAGACAAAATCCAATCTCACACTCCCAATTTAAGACTAATATGAGCTAGGAACCATTCCATTGTCTTACCGTTTCTAAAAAAAATTTTAATATATTTTTATTCTAGAATTTTCTGATAAAAAATAGGAATTCCTTCTAATAAATGAATATAAGTAAGTCTGGAAAAACTCCCTATTTTTTAGGTAGTATTGCAACTTGTTTTCCTCAGGGAACAGCACTATTCTCTCACTGACTGAACTAACCCAAATTTGACAGAGCTGAAGATGTCTGAAATAATTACATTCCTACAGATTTTGTGAAAATTGATGGTTGGGAAGGACAAGAATACTTGCAGTGGAAATATGGACAGGTCGAAGGACGCAAATCCATTGAAAACTAGGCTTAATTAGTTACAATGTTCTTTTTGCCATTATTACTCATCACTTTCTTCATATCCTGAACAACACGGCTATCAAAACTGCGATGAGAAACGTGCTCTGGGAATCCATAAAAAGTTTCGAAGATTATTAGGAAGGCAGAATACTGTTCACAATGCAGTTGCTACAGGGAAAAAAAAACCAAACCAAAAAACCCAAACCAGCAACTCTCCCCAGCCCCCTGAAAGACAAAATCACACACCCCCCAAAAAAAACCCCAACAAAATGTAAAACAACAAATAAACCAAAATGCTACACACACACACACCCCCCAGTTTTCTGCACCATCTCAGCTGACTGTCAGCCTCATTAAACTTTCTGTTCTCCTTCACGGAAGCCGTAGAACTACAGACACTGATCCAAAGCACCAACAGCTTTTCAAAAGAGAATCAGGACCTACTTTCTCTCCCGGCTTTCTCCCACCCTTTATGGTCTTCATGTTCTTTGTGAAATGTGAAAGCATTATTTATCTGAACATACAAAAATGCTCTGTGATAGGAGTAACTTTGGCTACTTGAAATCAATGGAATCATTTCCATTAGAAGAGTTCCTGTTAGTAAAACCACAGCCAGGATATTTAGAGATCATACACGGATTGATTATCTTCTGACATCAGTACTAAATTGAAACTGTCGACAAACAAACCAACTACAAATATGCCCATTCCTTTGCTGATTTTATCTCCAAGTAGTCTGAGAAAAGAACTCTCCAAAGCAAAATCTCAAACATCCTTTTATCAAGGTTTGCCTACTCATCGTGTATTGTACACCTTCATAGGCTTGAAATACCTTGTTCTATTAGTTTTATTTCTATTATTTCAACATTACAGCCACATAATGTATCTTATTAATATATTGAAGTTTTTGGTGTCAATACAATTTGATTTCACTAATTACCTTATGAGCAAAGGTGATGATAAAACATAAAATGTTACCTACACATAGAGCAAATGAACACACAACGTATTTCAAAGTTTACTGCTGATCCATTCACAAAACCCCACGCCCCTTCTATGGAACGGCTGAAGGACAGGCACTCCTCACTTACTGTCCTTGCTTACTGTCTTACCTCCTCCTCCTCCTCCTTCACCATTCCTATGATCCTCTGACAAGCTGAATCACATTGTTAAATGGCCAAAAAAGTATATAGTTTTAGAATTACTCATGAACCTGAAAAACACCCTAGAGAGGAAAAACCACTAAATTTCAGGCAATGGATGGGGCAAAAAAGTTCCCCCTTTAGCAGCAACAGTTAAATAACTTGATATATTTACTGTTTTAATTAAAATTCAAAGAAAAAAAAAATCACAGTTGCGTTCAAGCCAACCACCAAATGATCAGAAAGACCTTCTCCGTGACCTTGTCTCCTGGAGCCTTTCTTTTTGTTATGTTCCTCGACACCATCCCTAGAGCTGCTCTCAGACAACCAGATAACGTCACTCTAACTTTCTATAACCACAGCACTAGAACTCAAGTGTTTTTACTGCCGTATTTTGGCATAGTTTTTACTTAACAGGGTCAGTTACTCTGAAAATCGTATCTAGCATCACATGAAAAAAGTATTCATACCATCCTCTCTTCTTTTGTAGAGTGTAGGGCTTTCCTCTGCAGCAGGTGAAATCGAAGTCAAGCTTGTTATGAAGATATTATACTCTACAATTTTCATAAGGCGACTACAGAGTACTTCCAGCTATGGAATCCAAATTTAGTCACTATCACTTTTACAAAATAACTTGCACGTTTTACTCAGAGTCTAAGAGTGGCATCTAACTTATATATAATGGGGCAGCTACCCTTGCAGGAAAGGAACCTATAGAGATGATGGGTTTCTAGAAGACCTGGTAGGACAACATCAACGATAGCAGAAAGGCACTGGTCAGACTTGTTTTACATGACCAATGCTTTGGTCAGAACTAAAGCAGCACACAGGTTTATCTAAAACTCAGTCATTTAAGGCCATCAAAGCTGTATAAAAGTTGCAGGAACAATTGCATTTTGTGAGGCTGTAACACAAAAATGCCAGTGCAGTGCTGTAACTCTAACAAACAGGTGCCGATAAGAGGCTGTTGTGTACAAATACGGTGCAACATGAGCTACAGTAGTTGAAGTATGGGGATGAATTTGCTTCTGCAAACCTCAAAGGGCAGTGGGGACCAGCAGCAAGGCAGGTACTTCGTATGGTAACAACATCCTGGTAGAAGAAGATTCACCGAAGAATTCCTGATAGAGGTCTTTGTTGCATTTACACCCATTTTATGGCATTACAGCTGTACTGTGTGGTATTTTCATGTTCCTAAATAATATTGCTATGCTAATGAAACACTGTTAATAGACCTGGCCCCTGTAAAGTCTAGAGATTACACCACATAGTTTCTCTTGCCTCTGTAAAAGCTATCTGGATTATGGATATTACTTTTTTTTTTTTTCCATATAAGTTTTACTTTGGTAACGTTTCTCTTTTTTTTGCTAAATACGATCCATTGCTGAGTGCAAAGGGGTCACTCTGGGACTGTTTTTCTCCTGTGTGACTTGGGTTAGGACAAGCTCATAGAATTCAATTACATGAGGAAGAAAAGCAGGCAAGCATGATTTTAAACTCTGCAATTCTACTCAGGCGACTCTACACAGGCACCAAGGAACAGAACAGAGAAATGCAGCCTTGCCGCAGTGCAAAAGGGTAGGAGAGAGCCATTACATGTTTATTATGTATCCAGGGAAAGGGAAGCCAGAATTGCGAGTTTTCCCTCTTCCCGAGAGGAAGGAAGAAATGGCAATGAGCCACTGTTGACAGAAGCGCTCTGTTCCCTCCATCCCAAAGAGGCTCTGACTCTAGAAGATATTCAGATAATTTACTGTAAAATGAGCGTACATCTCTGATCACTGACCTACCATTTACCTCGTCAGAACTTCAGAAAATAGTATGGAAGCAACTTCTCAGAATGTGTCTCAACAAGCCCAGAAAGTCTGCAAGTAACATCTATCATCAGTGGGATGCCATGGCTCTGATATGGCACCAACTCATTAATGTATTTCTGGCAGCAAAAATACACTATCACCCAAAAAACGCAAATATTTTTCCTGTAGGAGTAAAGAGCTTGCCACTGGGAAGTGCCAGCCATTTAAACTATTCAGCTGTTGTCTACAAATATTTTTATCATGCAGAACTTCTCAATTAAATTTACAGGGAAGGACAACTCTGGAAAGTGACCTATACATTCGAAGGGCAATTATGAATGTGTAATCCATGTAGAAATTTCATAAGCAGAGCAGCAGCACACATTTATTTAAATGCCTTTACAGACAGACTGCCAAATCTTGAAGCCTTTTCTTTCACTCCACACTTTCCCACCGCCGTGAGAACTATTTCTCATTAACAACCAAATTGGTTTCAGATGCTCTGCTGTAAGATGTTACCTTAGAAACCATTTGGTAAAAGACTGTGGCTTCCTTCCATAGAAATCTCAAGCAGTGAAAAGGCAGATTTTCTGGCATAAATCAAATCCAATTTCTAGGGTTCACTAAACCTTTTCTCCTCAGAATAATGTTTTGTGACTAGATCTTAGCAGTTAGTAGTGCACGAAGAATTGCTGGTGTGAACCAGTTTTAAATGATTTTCATTCTGTTCCTTTTGTTAACTCAATTGAAATTGCTTCCAGTACTTATCATACCTTGATAGAACTTTTAACTTCATAACTAATAAGGATAGGTACTATGCACAGCAAATAAATAGACTGAATAAAAATATTATTTTCCTCCCCTTTAATACATCTCCTTAACCTAGTCTATCTGATAAAGATTACATTAATTGATTAACAGCACTAAACATTTGGAAATACTTCACAATAAATGAGACAGACCTGTGACAATTTTTTCCTCCTCCAAACAACTTCCACAAAAAGAACGATCAAAAGGAAAAAAAATAAAAGCCCATGCGAAAATTTGACTTAAAAGTTATGTAAATAATTTAGAATTAAGCATAATCAGCATACAATTAAGTAGAGGGATAGCAATTTTTAAAAGTGTAGTTGACCATGAGACCAGTAATTCAAAACCACAGAATACTGTAAAGATAATATTATAGAAAAAAATTATAGAGAACTGCAATTTACAGTGACTTGTAGCTTACAAGCTGAAAATGTACATACAAGAACTCATCAGCTTAAGATCCTAATTCAAGATGACGTTCACCCTGATGACTAATATTTGACATCATAACAGTGCCCTTTATACCTACCAGACTACTCGCAGAATAAGTACAATTGTGAATCGGGACAGGATCCTACTCCTGCAATATCATGTGACACGGCAAGGTCTGAGCCTTGCAGTGTCCCACTGCTAGCTAATTGCGTCCCTGAGTTCGAAGGACAGCAGCCACCCAGCTAGCCATAGCGCAAACTAAAAGTGAACAACAAAGAATGTTTCTGATCAAACGAGGGGGTTTCCCCCACATCATCTAAGAACTTAAAAATGTATTTTCTCAAGGGTTCCAAGACAAACGGCATTTCTTGCAGCCCCTCTGACAGGGCACATTCAACCTTAGAATGGTATGTATTAGAATGCAAAGCACTTCCATGCGGGCGTTCGGCCTGGGGAACAGAGCTCCCAGTTACGAAACCGATGTCAAGCCACAAAGATGGCTTTCCCCTTCCTCTCCCCTGGTAAGGAGGATTTTATATCACTCTGCGCTGGAGGTACTTGGCATAAACATCAGAAGAACTGAAGGAAGTTTAGGAATCAGTACCTCCCTCTTCCCCATTTGGAGGCGTGCGGAACTGCTGCAATTTAGGCTCCAGCAGCAGGTGACATCACCGTTCGCTGCTGCCAACGCTGTGCTAGGGAGCTCTGGCAAAGCAAAAAGGTATGATGATTAAAATCTGCTACATGAAGGCTGGAAGACAAAAGTCAGCTTTCTTCCCCCCTGCCCCCAAAGTTTGGTATCCTTTTTCTACATTACAGAAACACGGTAAAAGACAGAAGTTAAATACACTGGAGTTTGCTTCTCTGCTCATTTCGAACCGATTACAAATAATTTGTTCATCTAGTGGGCAATTCAGCTTGTAACATTTAAAAGCGTTAATGGCAACAGCAAATTTAAAAGCATGCACATGAAGTGCCTCTGCTTATACTGATAAAGGCTTTAATTATTAAACAGTGATAGAAACCTAAATTTGTTTTTTATTACTTAGACTTAGTGATGGACATTTAAGATTCAGTATCACTTCAGCAACACTGTGATTACCAAAAAGAATCCAGCATGAGAAAGGAAGCTATCTTTCTGCTATTAAATCACAGTCCTAAGTCAAAATATAAATCAGGTAAAATCCTGAGCAAAAATATAAAAACCTGACCTCATAGATTTTTAGGTGTACAAAGAGAGCAGACACAAAGCAGCAACTTCCCCCAGAAATTATTTCTGTACTGCGTACAGTCTGATATAAGCAAAAATTGGCCCAGTGTTTTTCCCCCGATGCATTTGCTAGAACCCTTTAAAGCACAATTTGTACAGCATTCGGTCTTTTTTAAAGAATAAAACACCACCAGAGTGGAAGCAGGTGAAGTTAGAAGCAAGCAAGGAAGGTAGGAGCTCAGCAGGTTTAGACAGGTTAGGAAAGGATACTGCTTTATTCCACTCTCTACAGATATGCAGCTGCCTGGAATACTGCCATGTTTTGTACATGAGAGAAGTTAAATATCTGGAGGCCCTCAAAGCTCAAGTACAGCTTCTCAAGGTCAGATCTACTGAAACGGTGGATGAATTGAGACAGAAAGATTTATAGATGTGGCATTTTGTTCATCACAAGAGGCTGTTAAGGAAACTTGGTAACCATGGGTGAGAAGCAAAGTCCCGACAGAGTGAAAAAAATAAATGGTTGAGACATAAAACAAAGGGAAGAAATAAACAGCCGATTCTTATTACAGGGTAAGATTAATAGGGGGGAGTGCCACAGGTCTTGGTATCAGGACCGCTGTTCCATAAATTTCCTTAAGAACTGAAGCCATGAAGAAACAAGAGCCATGAATAAAAAAAAGGCAGTAACAGTGGAGAATGACAACAAGCGAAGACTTGATTCTGCTGCCACTGAATTGAAAAGC